TAGCTAAGCTGGCTAAGTGTTAACCTAGCATGCAAGAAGCCTGGGTTCAGTCCCCAGGACCACATAAACTAGGGTAGGTGGCACACCTCCCAAAACGCTGACACAGAGGCAGGAGAATCAGGTCATTCTTGGATACATATTGAGCCTGGGATACAGGAACCTTGTCCAAAGAAACAAAACTACAAAAGAAGGAAAAGAAAACAAGTCCATTTTCTGCAGTTTTGTTCTTGTTTGTGGCTTTTCAGTGTTATTTATTTCTTTATTTGGTGCTTTGAGACAGGGTTTCTCTAGGTAGCCCTAGCTGTCCTAGAACTCGCTGGCTTTGAACTCAGAGATCCACCTGCCTCTGTCTCCCTAGTGCTGAGATTAAAGGTGTGCTCCACCTCCACCACGCGGCTCTCTGCAGCTTTGTTTTAACCAGGAAACTTTGGAAACAATGTAACCAATGTTAACGTTCATCACGAGAGATGCCTACTGTGATGCATGCCATGAACTACCGGTAGCTACGCAGATAGACAATGAAATAAGCGCCCAATAAGTACACAGAAATACGTCTCTGAAGTAACATTCAGTAACAAAAGTGTAAAGGGGTTGTAGACCCTGCACGCACACCAAAGCTGGTGGGGGTTTTATCTGCTGCTGAGTGTGAAGCTGGTTTTGTTGTTTTATTGAGAAAGGGTCTCACTGTGTACCTTGGATGCCCTGGAGCTCACTATGTAGACCAGGCTGGCCTTGCCCTCACAGAGATCCACCTATCCACCTGCTTCTATCTCCCGAGTGTTGGGATTGAAGGTGTTTGCTATTAGGCCTGGATTTTTTTTATTTTTATTTTTTCTTTAAATCTCCATAGGGCTGAGATCACAGCATGTGTCACTTTGCCTAACTGCTATATGGAAACTTCTTTTCTTTGAGCCTTTGCTGACTGTTGGGAGAAGCACACCACGGGCTCTGAGCGGCCCCAAGCATGCTTGCTGGGCATGTCTAGGATGCAAGGCCCAGATCTCTATTTCTCAAGTCATTTCCAGTCTGCAGTGAGCAAGGTGACCTTTCCTAAAGAGACACAGAGCAGCTTGCTTACCCATGCTGTGAATGAAGCGCCTCACCCCAAGCCTGGTATTCCAGGGTGGACCTACTGTGTGCAGGGCAGAAGTCTGGGCCATTGTGTCTCCCAGGACTCTTGAGTGAGGGATAGCTGTAGCTAGAGTTTTCCTGCCTGGCCCACAGTCAGGAAAATCTCTCTCACCTGCCAGTCCCACAGCCACTCAGACCCGACCAAGTAAACCCAGAGACTTATATTGGTTACAAACTGTATGGCCGTGGCAGGCTTCTTGCTAACTGTTCTTACAGCTTAAATTAATCCATTTCCATTAATCTATACCTTGGCACATGGCTCGTGGCTTACCGGCATCTTCACATGCTGTTTCTCATCATGGCGGCTGGCAGTGTCTCTGACTCAGCCTTCCACTTCCCAGCTTTATTCTCCTCCTTGTCCCGCCTACACTTCCTGCCTAGCCAATGGCCAATCAGTGTTTTATTTATTGACTAATCAGCAACACATTTGCCATACAGAACATCCCACAGCACTTCCCCTTTTCTTTCTTTCTTTTTTTTTTTTAAAAAGGAAGGTTTTAACCTTAACAAAGTAAAATTACATATAATTTGGGAATTTGGGCGTAGCTTCTCTTACTACTTCCTGCTGGAGGGGGGCACTGTATCTTATAGGGACACAAAGAAAATTTAAGGATCATGGAGTAGTCTGTGAGGCTGTATCGTCTGAGCCAGTTGCCTTGAAAGGATTCTGGATGTTGGATTATCTGGGCCATGGTGTCATCGGAGACCTTTCAGGGGGTCTTGGCTGGTCAAACCTGATGTATCTTAATCTGGAACAAATCCATAGCCTTTGGCTTTCTGTGCGAACAAAAGCAGAATCTCCTTTCCAAAGCAACACATCCTTACATCCAAATTTTGAAGTCAAGGTATCTTTAAAATATACATATTGGCATAACTCAACAGCTTTTACAATCAAATGTTTTTCAGCAGTTAAAAATCCCAAAGATAGGGCTGGAGAGATGGGACAGTGGTTAAGGGCACTGGCTGTTCTTCCAAAGGTCCTGAGTTCAATTCCCAGCAACCACATGATGGCTCACAGCCATCTGTAATGAGATCTCGCGCCCTCTTCTGGCCAGCAGGGATACGTGCAGACAGAACATTGTATACATAATAAATAAATAAATTTAAAAAAAAAAAAAAATCCCAAAGATAACACAATCCAGATTCTCTGTGTAATATTCATCTTTACGTGGCTTATTTTATATATTAATTTTACTGTCTCTTTAAAGACTTTATTTTTAAAAACTATTTATTTCTTTATATAACTGTATATATTCCTTTTTCTCTCTCTTTCAAGCCTACGTACATTTTTACACACATTGTAAACTATTCCATCTGAATCTGTCTTATTGTGAATCTATCGCTTTAAACTGAAGCAGCTGTGGCTGCTGGCTCCGCCCACCTCAGCTTCCCAACATGGTGGTGGTAGTTTACCACCAGCTCTGGGAGCTATCGTGGGTCTATGCTTTTAGCCAAGCAGCGTGTAGCCCAGAAACCTCTTTTTTTTTTTTTTTTATTTTGTACTAGCAAAGTCTAAATCCACCATGCAGCTTAATGTGCCACTTGCAGAGGCCTCATTCCTGCCATAGGGCGTATGCTAGGAACCCACCAGTAGCTCAAACCAGCAGCTGCCGCTCATTTGAGAGAGACAATTAGGAAGCTGTTTTTAGCTCCGTTTTAGAATCGTTTTTCTCAGTTTTTAGGTGGAAACTCTTGCCACCACGTTGGACGCTATTTGTTGCTATCTACTTCTTCTATCTTGAATTAACCCATTTCCATAAATCTATACCTTGCCACATGGCTCGTGGCTTACCGGCATCTTCATATGGTGTTCGTCATCGTGGCAGCTGGCAGTGTCTCTCTGACTCAGCCTTCCACTTCCCAGCTTTATTTTCCTCCTTGTCCCGCCTACACTTCCTGCCTAGCCAATGGCCAATCAGTGTTTTATTTATTGACTAATCAGCAACACATTTGCCATACAGAACATCCCACAGCAGATATCCATGCAAACAAATGCTCACACTGCCTGCTGTCCTGTGAGCAGTACATTCCTGCTTCTGCCCTGGAGTCTCATGTCAACAGTGAGGAGCTACAGTAGGAGCCCAGTCTCTGCCAGGGACTGATCTCAGTCTTTTTGTTGTTATAGAATTGGGGTTTATTAAGTTATAGATATTTTAAAATTCTTTTCTGCTTTTGAGATTTTTATTTATTTTTTATTTATTTATCTTTTTTGGGGGTGGGTGTTGAGACAGCTTTTGAGATTTTTTTTTTTTTTTTTTTTTTTTTTTTTTTTTTTTTTTTTTGGTTTTTCGAGACAGGGTTTCTCTGTGTAGCTTTGCGCCTGTCCTGGAACTCACTTGGTAGCCCAGGCTGGCCTCGAACTCACAGAGATCCGCCTGGCTCTGCCTCCCGAGTGCTGGGATTAAAGGCGTGCGCCACCACCGCCCGGCTTAGCTTTTGAGATTTTTAAATGTAGATCTGTAAGCACTATGGTTCAGAGAAAGAACAGTGTTCAGAAAAAGAGACATACCCAAGAGAGTGGGTATGGACTCCTCAAAGGAGAGTCACCCCATTTTAGTATTTTATTGTTTTTATTGTATAGAATTGTTTTTACAATATTAAAACCAGTTATGAGTTTTTGTTTGTTTGTTTGTTTGTTTTTTTGTGGTTTTTTTTGAGACAGGATTTCTCTGTGTAACAGCCCTGGCTGTCCTGGAACTCGCTCTGTAGACCAGGCTGGCCTCAAACTCACAGAGATCCACCTGCCTCTGCCTCCCAAGTGCTGGGATTAAAGGTGTGCACCCCCATGCCCAGCCAGTTATGAGTTTTTAGAAGGCAAGGCAAGGCTCCCAAACAAACACAAACCAAAAGAATCCATTGCCTAACTCAAGTCAGGTAACAGAAATCATTCGAAGAAAGAATGCCAAGAGCCCCTTACTCAAGGCTGGGAATGGTACTCAGAGTAGAGAACTTATGTGGGACCAAGACCCTGGGATCGATCTGCGCATTGCAAAGATGATCCCAAACCCCCCAGTTCGCACTCAGTTGAAGAGTGCCACCATCTGGTCCCTGGCTCCTTCTGATAATAGTAAAAGCAAGAGTGGCTAATTTCTTAGTAGAGGTCTTTCTAGAAGTTTTCTTTTTTTAAGTAAGTAAATCTTTTTGTTGTTGTTGTTGTTTTGTTTGTTTGTTTGTTTTTTGTTTTTCAAGACAGGGTTTCTCTGTGTAGTTTTGGTGCCTGTCCTGGAACTCACTCTGTAGACCAGGCTGGCCTCGAACTCACAGAGATCTGCCTGGCTCTGCCTCCCAAGTGCTGGGATTAAAGGTGTGCGCCCGGCAATAATCTTAATTTACTTTATTTTCTTCTGTGTACATGAGTGTCTGTCTGTGCCTATGTATGCTGGTGCCCTTAGAGGTCAGAAAGGGGAGTCAGATTCCCTGGATTACGGGTGGTTGTGAGCCACCAGGCGGGTGCTTGAAACTGACCCTGATCTGCAAGGGCAGCCCATGCTCCGAACCTCTCAGCTGTCTCTCCAGCCCCTATGGTTTTCTAAGACCATAGGATATGCAGTGGTTAGTACTGGCCTCAACAAGGGGCCACTGGAGGGACCTCAGCTTCTTGTGGCTCTGGCAGGGCTCAACACCTAAAAAACCTTTCAGGACCATGAGCAGAGTCGATTGTGGATTGTGTGTGTGAGTGTATGTGAGTGTGTGTGTTTGCGCACACACACACACACAAGGGGGAGGGACGACTTCCTGGGAGCTCTTTGCAGGAAATGCACCACCTCAGGTCCTGGCCAAACAGCTTGGGGGACAAAAGATGGAAAGGAAATGATTCTCCCCTCCATATCCTCCTCTCTGTCCCCTAGCCCTTAGCACATCTTCTCATCTCCCAGCTCTGACTGTTTTACATTCTATACTCCAGTGAAAACTGAAAATTCCCATTCTGGACCAGAGCATCTCTTCATGCCTCCACTGAGTCCCTGGGTCGCCCAGGCAGCTGTGGGAGTAGGAATGGGTGGGGCAGGATGCAGGGGTGGAGTGGGTGGAGCCAAGACCCACTTCCTTTCCCCCTGGGGCTCAGTCTGCCCCAGTCCTGACCAAGCCTTAGGAGGAGCTGGAGGTGCTCTCCAGGACCCTGTGCCGTATCCATTAAGCTGGTAAGACTACCGTATGATATAGGTGGGTGCGGGGATGCTCAGAGGATGAGGGGATGTACCTATAGTTTGAAAAGATGAGTAGGGTGATGGGAAAAGGAGGTCAAGGGCCATTGGCTGGAACAGAATGAGCGAAGGCCAGGAGGACATGGCTGCTGCTGGAGTCTGAACTGCCAAGGCCAGGGTGGGTGGGGAGTCTCTGCCACCATCTGGTCCCTGGCTGCTTCTGATAATAGTAAAAGCAAGAATGGAAAAAAAAAAAAACAAACCGTTAAACCACAAGTTAGGCTTGGCAGTTGGCAGGGAAGTGGGCAGGAGGAGGGGTGCTGGCCAGGTTTCCCTCCCCAACCCCTGTGTGTTCTTCTGTAACTTCCCTACATTCAGGTCCCAGCTCCTGCTCTGGAAATGGCCCTGCTTCTCCTTCTCTTTGGGGGCTTTTGGACCCCGGTGTTGAGCAACTCAGATCTGCACTCAGATCTGCAGAACACAACGATGTTGATGACCACCCCACATATCAAGGTCCCAACTACTTCTGAGGCCTTGAATGTCAGCTCGACAATCTCTAGTAGGCCAGAGACAGAGGACCCTCAGAAGACTACCCACATGTGGAGTCAGACCCCACCCCCACCTTTCTCAACCCCCTTTGAAACTACTGAATTGTCTTCTCTTGGGGCTCCCACGGATGCCAGCATGAGCACCCCTGTACCAGAGCCTACACCCTCCCAGGAAGTTTCCAATAAGACATCAGTGCAGCTTCCAGAAGCATCAGATGTAGCCAGCGACCCTCCTACCACCACAGCCAATCCTATGATAGACAAAACTGAGACATTTCCCTCTCTAGACACCTTTGATGGGACTAGTGCACCCCCTATCACCATGACAACAAGCTCCAAGGAGACCAGTGGACCCTCTGTGTCTACAACAGTAAGCTCCAAGTCCAGTGGTCCCCCTGTCACCATGACTACTGGGTCTCTGGGGCTCTCCAGTCAGACTCATGGACTCGCTGCCACCATAGCAACCAGTTCTGTGGAGAGTTCTAGCGTAGCCGGTGGCACCCCAGTCTCCAACATAAAAATATCCACGATGTCTACCCCAGGGTCTATAACCTCCAGGAAGCCACGCCAGGAATCCAGCGGCACGTTGCTAGTGCCCATGCTTGTGGCCTTTCTATTGGCTTTGGCCCTTCTGTTTCTACTGGTGTTGTGGCGCCGGCGGCAGAATCAGAGGACTGGGGCCCTGACCCTGAACAGAGGAGGAAAGCGCAATGGGGTCGTGGATGCTTGGGCTGGGCCAGCCCGGGTTCCTGATGAAGAGGCCACAACAGCAACCGCATCAGGGCCAGCGGGGAACAAGGGCTCGGGGGCCCAGGAGACAGAGGGGTCGGGACCGCGGCCCATGCTTACCACTTTCTTCAGCAGACGGAAATCTCGCCAGGGCTCTTTAGTACTGGAGGAGCTGAAGTCTGCGCCAGGTCCCAAAAAGGGGGAGGAAGAGCCACTGGTGGGCAGCGAGGATGAGGCTGTGGAAACCCCCACTTCTGATGGGCCAGAAGCCAAAGACGGGGCTGCACCTCAAAGCATATGAGCAACAGGACGTCTTCGTCCGACCTGCTCCTTAAGCCTGGATCCTGCTCTCAGCATCCTCAAACTCTACACTTGTGAATATTTGTGAACCAAGTGCATTCATTCATTCATTCATTCATCCATTCATCCATTCTCTCCCCACTCCCTCCTCCATGCTCCCTTTGGAACCACTTGCTGAATCTCCGAGGAGATCTTAGTTGACTCACAGTTTCTCCAAGGATCCCCCTTGGGATGCTGGGATCTGATAAGAAGAATGAAATAACAAACCAGAAAACTCCCTGGGATGAAACTTTGTGAAGAACTCGGCACGCCCTCCCCACCCCACCTCACCCCCAACTCCCTACTGTGCCCCCCATGCCCTCCCTCCTCCCGTAGGGGCCCCCTTCAGGACTCCCATCTGCTCAGGGGCCAGCTTAGAGCCTGGATGGGGCCCTCCAGCTTGCTCTTGGGTGAACTGTGACCTGTGACTTTCCCCGGAGCACTCTGGCTTTGGGCTGCCTGGTAGCTGCTAGGGGAGGCGGCCGGAGACCGACTAAGTCTCCTTGGGGAAGAGATGAGAGTTTCTGGGTCTAAGAAGTCCTGGCACCTGTCATGTCCACTCGGAGGTGCAGTGTGTGCGCAAGATCTGATTTGGGTGATGGTTGTGAGCGGTCCTGGTGAGTACAGATGGTGGGTGGGAAGAGCAGGGCAAGGATTGGGAAAGTGTTACCCCAAAGTGAGGGCCACAGGAGCTGCTGGGAACACAGGTCTCTTCATCTTGCTCAGACAGGGTGGAAACAGTGGAGAACCTAAGTCTGTCTGTAGCCTCCGAAAGACTGCAAGCTTGATGGGGACTAGGCTGCCAGATCCTCCCCTCAAAGGCTCCCCCCCACCAACACACACCCACCCCATGCACACATGCAAGAAGAGGATAGCAGTCGGCCCAGCACAGGGACCGTGGGGACAAACCCCCGTCTCGATGCATTTCCCCTACAGACTCGGTTTGACTGTTTCCTCTTTCATTCCAAGGCTGCAGCCCTTCCCCTTTCTAAGTGGAGTAAGAGGGACTCAGATGAGAAGACAGGCCCCGGGTGTGTGGGAACATGGATGCCAGGGACTCCCTGGGGGTCTGAGATAGAGAGAGGGGACAGACCCTAATTGTGCTGCTTCTGATACCCGCCCAGGCTACAGCCCAAGAGGGCATGTGGTCCAGAGGTGGTTGCTGGAGGAGATTTGCAAGAGGAAGTTGTTGAGTCAGAGGGCACAGTCCTTGAGAACAGACTGACCTACAAAAAGAGATGTATGAGGGTGGTTGTGCGTGGCCTGGATAGGAGAGAAGGTGGGAAATGGAGGCCCAGGTGGCTCACCTGGTGTATGTGGGAGAGGCGGGGGAGACAAGGAACGGAAAGGGGCACAGATTAGCCGCCACCACACTGAGCTGTCACTGCTCCCTCCCTGTCTGTGGGGAAGAGGAAGGGCTGAGAAGGGAACCCATGGGCCACATTGAACCTGTTTCTACTGTCACTAGGGGCTGTGTGGACCGACTGTGACAGAGACGGCAGAAATGAGTTGCAAATGTCCCTTAAAGGACAGAGCAGCTGTTGTGGTAGATTTTGCCAAGCTGAGTGCCCCAATTTCAGGTTTAGAGGATAATGTCACCAAACTGAGAGGCTAAGGGCTTTGACTCCCTCTAGTTCCAAAGTCATTTCCTGGATGTTTCTGGTTTTCAGGTTCAGGGAGGGAGGAAGGACTGAAGGAAATTTGGTAGAGATGGGGGGATGGTACCCAGCGGGGCTTCGGCCCAGACAGGGTTAGAACGTTCTGAGTGCTAAAGTGAGTGACAGATGGAAATGGCACAAGGGCACCCGAAGAAGGAGGTGCCATCCTGCTTCTGAAGGAAGACAAGAGGCGTAGTGTTTGTCCCAGGGTCTCAGCCGCATCCCATTTCCCATTGGCTCCTGTGCCTGGCAGAAGCAGGTGCTCAGTGTGCATTCACATGAGTAAATGCATGATGAATGAAAGAATGAAGAAATGAGGCTTTGAAAGCTAGGAAGGGAGAAGGCATTTTTAGCACAAGACCTAGAGGATGCAAACGTGTGTAAGTAAGTGGAGTAGGGAACGGGGTGGGGGGGGGGGGGGGGGGGGGGGGGGGGGGGGGGGGGGGACGGGACGGGACACAGAATAGATGGATGTCCTTCAGCTTAGTAGAGGAAGAACAGTAAACCAGCAATAGAACCAGAAAGAGAAAAAAAAAAAAGAAGGTAAACAGAAACAGGGAAATGTAAAACACGACAGCAGTTTCAGCTCCACCAGTTATGAAATGATTGTAAGTGGCTTGTGTTCGTGACAGCCTCGCCATGTTTTCAGAAACTGTAATGACCTCAGAAATGGTTGCAGCTGATATGGAATTGGAAAAAAAAAAAAAAAAAGGTCATTAATCTGTAAATACATGTGGTTCTCATTTATAATAAAAGCTACATCCCAAATGTTCAGTGTGGTCCTCTGAGAGGCGGGGAATTTAAATGGGATTTTCGTCTTTTCTGTGGTTTTCAAGTTTTACACAATGAATGTCTTCACTTTTACAGTTATGAAAAATATTGGTGAGGGGGCTGGGAAATGTCTCAGAGGACAAGGGCACTGGCTGCCCTTCCAGGGGACTCAAGTTCTGTTCCCAGCACTTAAGATGGCAGTTCACAATTGTCTGTAACTCCAGTTCCAGGAGATCCATTGCCCTCTTCTGACCTCCAAGGGCACTAGGTATACATGTGGCACACATACATACATACAGGCAAAACATCCATACACATAAAAATAAATAAATCTTAAAGAGGTAGATTGTGAAACAGATGTTTCTTAAGAGAGCTGTGGAGAGGGTCAGAGTCTTGGAAAGCTTGAGTTGGCTTCTGAGAGTGTTGAGATGGAGGAGGCGGGCCTCTGCAGATAATGAGCGCCATTCTTCCTTCAGTTGCCTAGCAACACATCTTAGAGCCATCCTCAGACCACTCCCCTGTGCTTGCTCCCTCAGTCCTAGGTCCAGCTGCCACTGGCTGCCGCCACTGGCTCCTCCCACTTGGGGCCCTGCTTTCTCTGAAGGTTCCAGCACCACGTTCAGCTATTGTTTTCATGTTTTAGAGGAGGTAAGGTTTATTTGGAGTTACTGTTTGCCTTTGTTGTGAGACAGTCAGGGTCTTACCATGTAGCCCAGGTCTCTTGGAACTCACTCTCCTGTCAGCTTTCCAAGTGTTGGGAGCACAGGAGTGTTTAGCCAGGCCTGGCTAAAGTTTTATTTTAGTTTGAATTGGCATGCAATAATTATTCAGTTCTCTGGGGGTACATATATCATATGTGTATATATATCATATGTATATATATATGTGTGTGTATATATGTATATATATATATATCAGTGTATGCACAATGCATAGTAATCAAATCAATAACATGCCTGTCAACAACTCAGACATTTATTTGTAGCAAAACATCCAAAATCCTTTCTTCTAGTCATTTTGAAACATAAACTATGAGCCAGCCGGCTGGCACAAACCTGCCTGGAGCTCCTAGAACTTGGGGAAGGGTACAGCGGGATCAGGCGTTTAAGGTCATCCTGAGCTATGTGAGAACCTGTCTCCAAAAACAAACTATGACCCATAGTCACGCTTATTGGGATGGTAGGACTTCCTCCTCCTGGCCACAGCTCTGTACCCTGAGCATCCTCTCTCCAGCTTCTGAGAAACTCTACTCTACTCAATAAGATTTACTTTTATAGATTCCACATGTAATTGAATATATGTGGATACACACACACACACACACACACACACAGTACTGACACAGAGTCTCAATTTAGTTGGCCAAGCTGGCCTTAAACTCTTTTTTTTTTTTGGTTTTTCGAGACAGGGTTTCTCTGTGTAGCTTTGCGCCTTTCCTGGATCTCGCTCTGTAGACCAGGCTGGCCTCGAACTCACAGAGATCCGCCTGCCTCTGCCTCCCGAGTGCTGGGATTAAAGGCGTGCGCCACCACCGCCCGGCTGGCCTTAAACTCTTGATCCTCCTGCCTCAGCCTTTCAAGTTCTAGGATCACAGGGTGTCTTAGTTACTGTTCTATTGCTGTGAAGAGACACTGTGACCAAGACAATTTATAAAAGAAAGTATTTAACTGGGGGCTCACTTACAATTTCAGAAGGTGAGTCCATGATCATCATGGTGGGAAGCATGGCAGCAGGCAGGGAGGCATGGTGCTGCAGTAGTAGCTGAGAGCTTACATCTTGAGACACACAGACAGACAGACAGACAGACACACATACACACAGACACAGAGAGAGAACACACACAACTGGGAGTGGTGTGGTCTTTAGAAACCTCAAAGCCCACACCCAGTGACAACCTCCTCCAACAAGGCTACACCTCCTACTCCTTCCCCAAAAGTTCTACCAACTGGGGACCAAGCATTGACATATATGAGCCTATGGGGACCATTCTTACTCAAACCACCACACAGGTGTTACCACCATAGCTAGCTTCAGGTCACACAGTATTTTTCTGTATCTGGCTAATTTCACTCAATGCAATGTCTCCAGACTCCTCCACTTTGTTACCAATGACAAGATTTTATTCTGGCCTCCACAGGCATCAGACACACATATGGTATTCAGACATACATGCAGACAAAACACTCATGTACATAAAAAATTATAATCCAACCACGATTAAAGACCAGAATAGACATTTCTCAAAAGAAAACATGCAGGTCTGCTGCGGGGGGAAAGTTCATACCACTCATCCTGAAGTAAATCAGGCTATACTGGGATGATGCCTCACCCTAGTCAGAGTGGATACTTTCAAAAAGATAAGAGATGGGGCTAGAGAGATGGCTTAGCCTTTAAGAGCATTGGCTATAGTCAGGTGGTGGTGGCCCACACCTTTAATCCCAGCACTTGGGAGGCAGAGGTAGGTGATGAGTTTGGTCTACAGAGCAAGTTCCAGAACAGCCAAGGCTACATGGAGAAACCCTGTCTAAAAAAATAAAAGAAAGAAAGAAAGAAAGAAAGAAAGAAAGAAAGAAAGAAAGAAAGAAAGAAAGAAAGAAAGAAAGAGAAAAGAAAAGAAAGAAACATGGAGGAATGTTAATCTGGTATTAATCTGCTGTAACAAATCCTGTCCCCATAAATTCATTGCTATGTTAGCCACATATGGCTTTAATTTTCCTATCTGTCTTTCTGACCCTATAATACACCTGATCCATCTTGTGCTTTGTTTTACCTCAGATAAAGTTCCAATTCCTAGAAGCTGAACATTTACCTCCTGAAGAGGAAAATTTGGATGCTAAGATTTTGGTGCAATTATTGTTACATCTGTCCCTATGTCTATTAAACCTTCAATTTCAATGCCATTTATTTGATTTATTTGTATTTTTAACTTTATTCTTTGATCATTTATAGAAGCTTGCCAAAATATTTGCTTTATGGTTTCTCCTGAAAATTTGGTTTTATCTTCTAAAGCTGTTCCATCATCCAGAGTAGTATGGTTGTTCACAACAGGCACTAAGGAGTTTCCCCAAAGCTGACAGGGAACGATTGAACCAAATTTGACACAGGAGCCTTCAAGAGGCCCCCTAAGGTGTTTCCCAATGGTAAAGGGTTACCTTGCCTGTCCCATGTTGATCTGCATTCATTAGTCCAATGTTGGCCTTTGCCACACCTTCTGTTTAGAAAATCTATAGAATAAACATTTGTCTCTAGGGATGCCTTGCCTACAATCCCTTTTCATATGACCTGGTATATTTACCACAAATTAAAACATCTAACCTTTTGATTTTTCTTAAAATTTTTAGAAATCACTTCTATCCAAGTATCATCATAAGCGTGAGATCCAATATCAGCTGTATTTCTAATCCATTCATCTATGGGTGCTGATCTTGCCTTTAAAGGCCTAATCACTCTTTTAATTCTGAATTAGAATTTTCAAAAGCCAAAGATTCAATTAATATTTGTCTAACTTCTTGATCTGACATCAATTCTATTTACAGGCAAAGTCAATCACTGAAAAAAAAAATCAGTGAAGGCTACTTTTGGGCCTTGTATAATTTTAGCAAAGGACTCAGTCCTCTTTCCTGATTCTTCAGTCTTGTCCCAAGCATTCAAAGCTGCTGTATGGCATAGAGCCAAGGTTCGATCATCAAATGTAATCTGTCTTTGCAAATCAGCATTAATAGCCCTCACCAAGAATTTGATCTTTAGAAATCTCATGACTTGTAGCCCTACCTTGTTGTTCTATGACCCTACCTGCAACTTGCCACCAACTAAGTCCCCCCCCCCAGAAGTCCCCGTGTCTCACCAGATCTGTTGACGATGACAACAGGACCAGGCTGGCTGTCCCTGCATAGCACAATCGGGCAGATGACACGGAGGATGCACAGCCTGTTTGAGGGCAGCTACAGCGCTGTGCATAGCTGGGAGCTGAGAGTGTGTGGTGGTTGAGCCCAGGAACTTGTGAAGTTTGGAGCCTGTGGAGTTTGGGGCTGGGAATGAGCGGCAGCGGGAGGCTGCTGTAGAGAGGCTGCAGCAGGAAAATCCCAGGCGAACTCAGAGGGCTTGGGACAAGGAAGGAAGAGCCAGCCGGCGGCGGCGGCGGCGGCAGCTCCAGTGGCTGCAAAGCCAGGGCCGTGTGGCTATCTTGTGACTTTGTGCCCCGAGTTGGACGCCAGAGGATGTGTTTATCTAATTACTCTTTATCAATAAAAACTTGGGAGCCAGATATCAGGGTGAGAACCTGAATGATCAGAGAAGCGGCGGAGAAGCCCCCAGGATCTCCTATCACTGCTGTTCCTCCATCCAAAAAGGGCCGAGATCCCCCCCTAAGCCCCGCCCTACTATAGCCAGCTCCACCACCTGATTCAAAACAAACTTTATGGTCAGTCTCAGGAGCAATCAAAAGATCACACAACAGGAAAAGAAAAAGCATTAAACTGCTCTTCCAGAGGACCCAGGTTCCTTCCCAGCACCCATATGGTTGGTGGCTCACAACCACCTGTAAATCTAGTCCCTTAGGAGTCCAGTGACCTCTTCTGGCCTCAGCAGTCACTGCAAGAATGTGATACACAGACAGACAGACA